GTTCTCAATAACAATCTCCTTAGTTTTAGGAATGTTTAGGAGGTTTAAATTTTCACACCAGTATAAACAAAAGTCAAGAACAGGCCTGTGTTCTTCATCCTCTTCAGTTAAAAGGCTCACCAAAGCGGTCTTATCTGCATATTTTACGATATATCTATTTTTAAATTAACTTAAACAAGAATTTGTATAGAAAATAAATAACGACAGAGATGATACACCACCCTGGGGAGCTCCAACTGAAATACACATTTTATCTGAAATAAAACCTCCCATTTAAACCTGCTAAGAAAATTGGTGACCCAGGCAATCATTTTGTGGTCTGATATAATTATTTTACCAAGACATGACCATATCATTTAATCTCTAATAAGTTTTTGAACACTTTATTCTGTTTAACTGTACCACTTAATAACAATAAACACATTTAAAATCATTACCTTCAGAAGTATCTAAGATAGTGGAAATTTGTGAATAATAATAATAATAATAACAATAATAATAGTAATATAATAGTATAACAACACAAGAATGTAATACTTTTACATACTAAACTTAACAGATTTCTACCAAATCTGTACATGGCTGATCATAGTATCAATCTCAGAATGCAAAACAAGTGAAAAGAGATTCATGACATTGCATATATATTTTTAACAGTCTCAGAGAACTGATTTGTTTGCATTCTGTTGTCTTGTTTAAGGATGAAAGGGTTGACTTACCAGAGGGGTGTCCTGATTCCCAAGCATATCTGGATGTTGGCTTTGCTCTCGGATGCTCTGAGCTTTTTTAGGCCACTACAGGTTTGAGCAGCTCTAGAGTGTCACCAGGAAGTGAATCTGGAGGTTTATGATGACAAAACCACTCCCTAAACAAATGATGCTTTGTCCGGCCATTCACCTGCCTTTCTTCCTATCTACAACATAAGCATTCATAAAACAGGAAAAAATATTTAGAAAAAATGAAATTACCGTACTGTATGTGTGCTTCCTTACAGCCCATTTGGTTATTTACTTCAGATTTTAAGTGTGTGGTTTAGGTTTGACTGCTTTTTGATCCAATTAAAAGTTATGATTATTTAAGCCAATGTAGCTCACCTGCTATTTTCCCCCCTTTCAACATGTGAAGGCTCACAATTCTTAGTCATAGGGAAAAAAACTAAATTTGCAAGACTGTTGTAGCTAAAACAAAACAGATTAATATAAAACAAATTAAACAAAAACTGACTGATTGGCTGAATGTATGCATAAATGTGACAATGCTTCCAACAATGCAAATTAGTAATAAAATAAGCATTTTTGGACTAATTTGCATAAATGTTCAGAACTAAACTATATGGGTAATGTCAAGTTCTGCATTATTGTTTCTTATTGCTGATCTAGTAAAAGTGATAGGACTACGCCCGCTGGCCACTTTATTAGGTACACCTTACTAGCACCGGGTTGGATCCCTTTTTCCCTTCAGAACTACCTTAATACTTCATGGCATAAATTCAACAAGGTGCTGGAAAGATTCCTCAGAGATTTTGCTCCATATTGACATGATAGCATCACGCACATCATGCAAATCTCCCATTCCACGCCATCCCAAATGTGCTTTATTGGATTGAGCTCTGTTGACTGTGGAGGCCATTTGAGTGCAGTGAACTCTTTGTCATGTTCAAGAAACCAGTCTGAGATGATTCACACTTTCTGACATGGTAGACTGTGGTCATAAAGGGATGGACATGGTGAGCAGCAATACTCAGGTAGGCTGTGGTGTTGACACGGTGCTCAACTGGTACTAATGTGGCAAGAAAATATCTCCCACACTATTACACCAACACCACCAGCCTGAACCGTTGATACAAGGCAGGATGGATCCATTCAATGCTTGTTTTTAATGTCAAATTCTAACCATCCTACCATCCGAATGTAGCAGCAGAAATCGAGACTCATCAGAGCAGGCAACGTTTCTCCAATCTTCTATTGCCCAATTTTGGTGAGCCTGTGCGAATTGTAGCCTCAGTTTCTTAGCTGAGAGGAGTGGCACCCGGTGTGGTCTTCTGCATCTGTACTGTAGCCCATCCGGCTCAAGGTTGGATGTGTTGTGCATTCAGAAATGCTCTTCTGCAGACCTCAGTTGTAACGAGTGGTTATTTGAGTTACTGTTGCCTTTCTATCAGCTCGAACCAGTCTGGCCATTCTCCTCTGACCTCGGGTATAAACAAGGCATTTGTGCCCACAGAACTGCCACTCACTGGATATTTTCTCTTTTTCGGACCATTCTCTATAAACTCTAGAGATGGTTGTGCGTGAAAATCCCAGTAGATCAACAGTTTCTGAAACACTCAGACCAGCCCGTCAGGCACCAACAACTATGCCACGTTCAAAGTCACTTAAATCACCTTTCTTCCCCATTCTGGTGCTCGGTTTGAACTGCAGCAGATCATCTTGACCATGTCTACATGCCTAAATGCATTGAGTTGCTGCCATGTGATTGGCCGATTAAAAATTTGCGTTAATGAGCAGCTGGACAGCTTATCTCATTTTTAAACATATAACTAAATTACCATCACTCAATCAATCTGAAAATATTGTCAGCAGTCAGAAAAAAAAACACTATGATTTTAGGTGTGAAGTGTTAAATTTACTAATTAAATCAGTGGATGAATCAACAAACTCTATAAAAAACCTTTAAAAAACCTACGTGTTTAGTGGAAATTTCTGGCAAAATAAATGTATGATAATGTTTTTTTAAAGCCTAGTTAGGCTACAAATAAATAACATGTTTAAGCACTTAGATTATGTTTTCTTTCCAGTGGACTCAAATAATTATTTGATGTTAACCAACATTGTCTGAAACGATAAATGACAAAAAATAAAAAGAATAGAAAAGAAAAAGAAGGTGCACCTGCGCATAGTTTCTTGATTTAACTATGGAAATGTACTGTTGGAAGGCCACCATCTGGGCTGTCTGGAGGTCCAGAAATACGTGATGCAAACCCTACGTCCAACAGCAGCAGTTACATATGTCAGCCACTAGGTGTCAGCAGCCCCTAGGGGAAAATAACACTGCGGCTCAACAAGACTGTCCTAGAAATCTACAACCGTTTGGAGTTGGTTTGTTTCCTCGGAGGGCAGTAGAAGGTAGAAAGGTGACACCAAATGAAACGAGTTTGACGTATGTAACAGGGATAATCTAATTATTTAAATGATATCTACTTACTGAGACAAAGCTGTAAAGATGTGCGTGGAAGTTATCAATAACCATTTAAATGTATATTATTCACTTAGAGTAATTATGTTGTGCAGCGATTGCTTTGTTTGAAGTAACTTAGGCCTAACTTATTTGTGTAACTTGACAAATAGTCTAATGTGAATAATTTAAATTTTATAACATGTAAGCTTGTTTTTTATATATATATATATTTTTGTTGTTTGTTTGTTTTGCAGTTGGTCTTATGGTGGTGTAGGCCTACTGAACCTTCTTGAGGAACATACCCTCTGGATATCTCGCAGCTCGGCCATCTTGCGGATGTGCTTGACGTCATTTCTCAAGTCACCTGGTTGGTTGAGTTTCGCGCGCCATTGGTGGACACCGCCCTGCTGCGTCAGAATCGCGCGGATTTGATAAAACGCCTGGAGTTTGATTTCGCGTTTAAAAGGTATTTGAGTTTCAATACGATGAATTACTTGTTACATAAAGTAGAGTCTTACACACACTCACACACATTTTAAATTGTAGTTCTAACTACACGCATTTCAGAATCGACATGGAGCTGCTGCAGGTTTACCTTGTGCGACCTTATTTACATTTCAGTTTTGGATCATTTCGGCTGCTAATGCAAGCACTTTATATATTTTGGTATATTGTTATTGAACTTTTAATGTTTTACTACAGTTACTTTTTTACAAATCTATGATTAGAAAGTTGCTCATACAGCGCCTTTACCTAGGCTAAAATACTTGTTTTCATCTTTTATTATTATTTGGGGCTTAAAAATGTAACAAATTTTAATGAAAGCTAATTTTGTTATATTTTGGCACATTGGCCCGTGGAGAAATAAAACCAATCAAGTTTCTCTCTATTTTCATGCTGCAAATAAAAAAAAAAGTTTATTACGTTTTGCCATTTCAATAATGTGCTGTGTTTGAATGAGTGTCTTGAGTTTGCTTTATATGTAAATACTGAGAATTATTATGTGTGTGTGTGTGTGTGTGGGGGGGGGGGGGGGGGTATGTTTTAGTGTGATAAAATTAATAATAAAAATAATACATCAAAAATGAAATTTATTTAAATTTAATTTAATTAAACTTTAGCATATGCAAATTATCAGATTTTTTTTGTCTTAAAACAACAACAACAACAACAACAACAACAACAGTGTGGCATTAGGTGAAGTAAAAAAGATCTGTCAGTGAAAGTGTGAAACAATACTGTGATACTTTAACCATTTTTGTCCACTATAAAACTTTATGAAACTTTTAAATGATTTATACATAATTTATCAATTAAATTATGCCAGACACGTATACGCACCTACTATGACAAGTGTTTTGATTGAGATATGGTATTGCAGAAATTAATTCAAACATTATAAGTATAATTCCATAGCCTATACAAATATTTGTATTTTTGTATTTGTATTATTATAACTATAATAATTGTATTATTTGTGTTGTATATATTATACTGGCCTATTATGTCGAATATAGAGGAGGAGTATTGCTTTGATGTAGCCTATGATACATTGTTTAAAATATATATTATTTATAACATTGTAACTTTTTCATTCTCTTCCCTTCTTTCTCTCTCTCTCTCTTTGGAAAACAATCACTTTATTCATGGCCTTCATGGGTCGTAATTTTCAGACTGTGGTTTTCTTAAAAGAGGGGGGAAGGTGACTTTGTTGATACTGGTGGGGGGTTTATTACACAGGGCGTGGTGTCTGTCTAGCCAATCGGAGGCCTTTTCTCGTGCAAACGCTGGCCTTTAACCACCGGCACGGATATAAACAGATTACAAACAACAAGAACCAAACAAACGTCGGCTCACGGCATTGACTTTTAGACATCATGGCAAACGTGGACGTATCAAGCAATCTGGAGCGTCATGTTGCACGGAGCACTTTTCCTCTCCTCACCCGCACAAAGGTCTGCCGTAACCTATTCGGACCCGTAGACCATGAGGAGCTGCACTGTGAGATGAAACGCAAACTGCAGGAGATCTCCGAGCGAGACCAGAGCCGGTGGAATTTTAACTTTGAGACCAACTCGCCTTTGCCTGGAGATTACGAGTGGGAGGCGATTTCAGAGGACACTTTGCCATTTTTCTACAAGGATAAAGTACAAAACAAGAGAGCTCGTGCCGCGACGTCTGTTAACGCAACAGGAGACGCTTCCAGCACTGTCGACTGCGGGATTTCCAGGAGTCCGGTAGCTCAAGAATCCGAGGGAGTCCCAAGTCGACCCAACGAACCCAACCAGGAGAACATCTCTGGCGCACTAAACTCCAAACCAGCTCGTTCTTCAGTCCTCAGAAACAGACGGAAGAGGTCACTTATCCCAGAGAGCCCCAGAAACAGCACGCCGCAAATTACAGGTAAATGCTTTGAAACGTTAAATAGTTAGGCTATATGTAAAGAAGTGTCACGATTTTCGTCTGTTAATTAACTGTGAAATAAAACATGAATAATGACATAAAACCTTGGTTTCCACCAGACTTCTTCCCAAAAAGAAAGAGGGTCGTGGAGTCGAAGCAGGATGAACGCAGTTACCTTCAAGCCGGCACATCCACGAGCATTGAAGTAACGCCACGTAAAACTATTAGATGGTAAGTATCCACTCCGTTTAATAGTTTAAACTCATTAAACAATTGTTAGTTCGATTTGAATAGCCTAGCTGTTATAAACTTATTAGGAATTGTAATAAAGTCGTAAGTGATAAAGTCGTAAGTGAACAACAAATTCCGTTAATGTCTTTTGTCCGATACTGCCGTGAAACAAATGTTAATTGTCATTTTTTTTTGCTTTACAGATGTTTGCACTATACATACATCAGTCCACCTGTGTTTATCTGCAGAGCGGATGAAAGAAAGAAGTGGACGAGACCCTTTCTCTCTGAACTCATGTAGCAATAATGGCTCTGCCAACAGAGACTTTGTTGCAGTGTTACAATGTCTAAACGGTGCAATTTTCACTTTTCTTCTGTTATAATTGTGTAGAAGGCTAGACCACAGTGCTCTAAACAGTCTAGAGCAAGACGTGTTTGTTTTATTTTTGAATATACTAACTTATTTTATTTATGTTCATAATAGTTGGTTACTCTTTATTATTTACAGCAATTGTTATTATTATTTTTATTGTTTCGGCCATATTTTATGTTGTGTTTTATTTAAGTTTGGTTTGCAATTTCATGCAACGAATGTTATTGAGCCTTGTTTGTTAAAAAATATATTCTGTAGCTCACGTTGTACCTTTGAATCAAAGTGTAAATTAAATTATATTTTTGCTAACCTGGTCGCATTCAAGTGTGTTCGTCTGGAAGCCACGTAGGCTATAATCTTTCAGCTACATTATTGTGCATCATCATGGGATGTGGGTAAACGACTGAAAAAAATGTTTGCCCTACACTTTTGGGGCGTCAACATTTTGCTAGCTGTGACAAAAAGAGGAGAGTTTGGCCTCTAAACAGGAGGGACTCAGCTGTTCCGCCCTCAGTGTTTGTGGGGAGGGATATGCGGGCAGCTGCGTCCTATAGGGAGGATTTAAATGCCATTTTCTTTCCATAATGAAGGAGGCAGGTGCCCTTGGAACCCCGCTTTGTCCGCATAAGACCTTCATTTTCAGCACCCTCTCAGCTATCCCGCTAATGAAACACTTACCAAGACTTGAACAAAATGGGCTCCTTCTATTTACACGCCAACCACCTGCCTCCCCTCCCCCTACCTACACACTATCTGTGAATAACATTTACTATAGATACCACCACACGCCAGATCTTTATAATGTCATTGAGATAGGGGAAAAGCTAATGGAAATAAAAAAAAGAGAACAAAAACTACACTGACAAAATAGGGACCAAAGGAAATGTGAGCACAGGTAGGGCTACAACTTTCTTTCATAGCTAAATTGGGAATAGGTTGCAAGTCAGTTCTTATAAATAATTTATATATAAATATAGGCTATTTATACATTTATTTATATATAATATATTACGTATAGTTTATAAATAAAAAAATATATAGGCCTATACGAATTTATCAAAATTAATTTGGTTTAATTTGATCAGTTTATAACAGGTTATCACTTTTGTGTGAATAATTATAACTTTTAAATTATACCAAAATTTAAAATTATGAATAGCAACAGCAACAAATAATGTAAAATAGCATGTTACATTTGATATACGAAAAAACAAATGCTTGTGCAATTATTGTTAAAACTTTCTAACAATAAAATTATCGATAATAGAATTGTATTTACGGAAAATCATTTAATTCTTTCAGGCTACTCCAAAAACGAGGATATTTGGTTTTTTAATCGCATTAAAATGAAAATTAAGCTTTAGGACTAGATTATCAACGAATTGTACCTATCACTCGGACTTTTTTTTTTTTTTAATTTCGGCCGTCATCATCTGGTGTAGGTGAAGAGTGCCAGTGTTTCGCCAGATATAGCCTTTCTCTAAAGAAGTTTCCCATTTCCATGACCATCTGGCACCAAAAAAGCGAAATGGAACAAAGGCAGCTAAAGGCGTAAGGCGAAGCGAGTGCCATCGCATTCACCTGCAAATGAGGCTTTGTGCTCTCACAGAAGCTCTCGGTGCTCACAAATCCTGTTTGCTTTTGTTTCTAGTCCGTATCTAGTCGTGTGCAAGAAAACAGAGATACTCCAGACCGTCATGCCAGCGACTGACCATCATTCATTCAAATAAAGAAGACAAAAAGACAAAATAAAACGAATAACGTTTAAAGATGCGTGCGCAAAGATGGTCGCTTTAAAAAAATAAATATGTAGGATAATATGCTAGTAAATTTACATTAATGGATAATAAATAAAATAATAATGGATATGATAATAATAATGGACTATTGTTACTGACAAATATAGGCTACTATTTTATTCTTTTACTATTTTATTTATTTCATAGGCCTATAAGCAGGCCTAACAAATAAATGTTCATTTGAGCTAATCAGCATTAACGCATAATGTGAGTCCTTAAAAGTATAATTCTTTGCGCTGAATTCGTTGGAAACGGGTATCCTAATATTATCACAGCACCATGCTTCAAAATTAATGAAAAACGAGGATTTTAATAATCTTAATTGTGCGACATGTAATGTGAGAAATCCCACTGGGTTCAACTAGACCTCATTATTTGAGCTTTTACACTAAAATCATTATGTCCAGATTGACAGGGTTTCCAATATGTTCCGTTATAGCTCAGCTGGGTTTCCTGACCAGATGGATTACCTCCTCAGGCTCATGGGACCTCGACTTTTATCAGCAAATCCCACAGAGACGCATTCATTCAGGCCTTGCAGTCTGTACATCATTAAATGAAGTTAAAAGTTCAATTCCTATTCTTTTATTCCGACTAAAACATCATTCAAATTATGTTCATTTATTTGACTGCAGAACAATAAGAAATACTGTGCGACAAAAATAAACTCACAAATAAAGGTTCCAACGGGCTGTTTAGCAGGTCATGCAACAAAATAATCAGTTTTGCTTTCATTTAGTTTTAAAAGAACTATTTTTAGTGTTAATAATAGTTTAATAAACGAAAAGACATTTCCCCCCTACAAAAAGAACCTGCTATTGAATAGAATTGTTCCAAGAAGTTAAGGGTTCGTCATGGAATGAAAGTTAAACAGACTAACCTTTATTTTTTAAGAGTGACAATCTTCTGCTGACAAATTACAGTATTCACTAAACCACAAAATAAAAGCTATTTAACAAATTTATATTTAAAATTAAACTGCTAGTATTTGTTTGATAGTTTTATTTTTTAAATGTTTAATACAAAAAACTAACCTAAATGTTGTTCCAAGTTCACTTAAAGGGATAAATCACACAAAAACAAACAAACAAACAAAAATTTTTGTTATCATTTACTTGTTTGAGTTTCTTTATTCTGTTAAACTCAAAAGAAGATATTTTGAAAAATGTTGAAAAGCATTGACTTCCTCAGTATTTGTTTTTCTTATATGGAAGTCAGTGGTTACAGGTTTCTAGCATGTTTCTAAATAACTTATTTTGGGTTCAACAGAAAAAAAACTCCTAAAGGTTTGAAACCATTTAAAGTTAAGGTTTTCTTAAAAGTTATCTTAGCCCTTTGACTGCTGCTCTACCAAACGGTTGGCCATGTTTTTACTGTTTTAAATAATGAATAATGAAGTCAGTTAAAGAATGGCATATTTATTAAATAATGGTGCACATGCACCATTTTGGTTTACAAAATATTCAAACAAACATAATCCTGTTGCACGACTACACTTGGTTTTGGTTTTATTGTTTTATTGTGTTTTATTGTATTATAGGAATGTGTTGAAATATCATGCATTGAGTGTATTAACAATCAACATTAGGAGCTAAGAAATGCAATCCATTTTTAAATAAAATGTTAAATAACATTTTAACAAAATGAAACAAAACTTGTTTGGTGGAATAAAATAATGGATTTCTTATTCAAGGTTAAAATGTCTTGAATAATAAAAAAAAGTCTTAAAAAGTCTTAAATTCACTTAAACATTGTCTTGTAGTCTTAAATTATTTTAAACGGGTCTTAATTTTTCTTTGTTTAAAGCTTTCCCAGTACTGGGTTGGTAGGGCATCTGCTCTGTACAGTGCTCAGCATATGTAAGTACACTCCTCACAAATCTCTCTTTTAAATTCATACTTTAATAGGAATCTGTACAATATTGTATTTGTGCGTATACATAAGATTAGTCAGTACTGAAGCCAAGTCTGTAGCTTATCTAAGAAAATAACTTACGCTAAAAGTCCAAAAACTAGCACAGCCAAATTTATATGTTATAGAAAAATATTAAATACACATTTTAAAAAAGAGGAAAAAATAAGAGAAGCAAAAAAAAAAAAAAAGTGAAAATTTTAGGTTGTAATTTATTTTGTAACATTTTGCTTGAATTTAATTGTATTATCTTTCAATATCTCAGTATGTTTGGTGACTTAAATATTATTTTAATAAATATATCTGTTAATTAAATCTGTTTGGTTTAAATGCACCAAAATACATCACATATATTTACTGGGAAATGGAGAAAAAATATTTATTTTCAAAATGGGGTGTGCTCAATTATGCTGAGCACTATAAAACATGCTGGAACAGTTGCCGGTTCATTCTGCTGTGGCGACCTCTGATAAGTCAGGGACTACGAGGAAGAAAAATTAATATGAAGCTACCCAATTGATCCAACATACATAAATAACCAACAACACATATCAATAAAACCATTAGCCAAATTATATTCATAACAATTATTGTAAAAGTCTGATGTGAATACATCTTTTTTAAAGGGTTTTTGTAGACAGCTAGGTTCTTCTTGTTCTGACAGATTGTTTAAAATATATAGGACATATAAAATATAAGAAATAACTAATTAGAATTAGTTTTTTGATGTGGCAAGTACATATTTTTTCTGCTTGCATGGCCATTAAAAAAAAAACCTTAGCATTTTGTCCTATACATTGAATTTTCATTCTTCATGGTCTTAAAAAGTCTTAAATTTGACTTGGTGCTACCTGCAGAAACCTTGTTATTGAAACATCAATGCAAATAAAGAACTTAAAAAAGAGGAGCAATAAAAACAAAATAATCTAATGTAAAAAGAGTAATTTAAACAATAAAATGAGTATTTAACAGATCACCTCACCCCCTCAGCTGATATTCATTCCTATTTTTTTTTTTCCCCCAAAATTGATACCCCTTTTGACACAAACATCTCCAATTTGCAGCAAAAACCTTGAGGGGTTGTAGCCCTCTCCATTTCTCTTTCACTAATAAAACCCATAAAACTAGGCGAGGCACTGGCAAGCTGTGTCTTCAAGGCTGGATACACCTCTATGGGTTCACTAGCTTGGATTAATGGCATTTGGTCCCAAAGTTTGCTCAGCGGTCCCAGAGACAGTGGCAGCAGTACGTCCTTTTAAATAATAACAAAGGCTTATCATTTATCTGGCGGCATATGGGCCAGACCCCCTCTGTAGCAGGCCTGCTTTCTGCGCTGTCTGCCAATACTGTTGTCCTGTCCACTCCATTGTTGACATAGTTGTCCTGCCATGAGGAGGCAAGCGCTAAAGCGTCTTATTCCTCTTCCCTTGTGGGACTTGAGTCGAGTTTTTGGTGGAAACGTATAAGCCATATGGCGTATCAGGTTTTATCAAATTAAGATTAAGTCAGCACAAATGGCTAAGAGGAAGCTGACATCCTGGTTCGCCTCTTTGGCTTTCCTGATATTTAATCCTAAGCCCTCGATTACTTTAGCAAGGTAATAAAGACAAAATGTCATGCTTTTCAGGAATGTGTATGTGACGGAATGTCTGATTTGTTGCACATATTACAGGTGACAATGGTCTATACGAGAAGCTGTGCGCCAACAAAGGCAGAGTGGACAACCGTGTTTGTGCCCAGGATAAGGTCAGAGGGGGCACATGTAGTCGTCCCCATAGCAACAAAGCCCCTCACCCCTGAGAGCAAATGCATTGTCATAAGATCAGAGGTCACGGTGCTCCCCATATGGTCGTGTGCTGCATAAGACATTGATCTGTCGGGATGCTCTAAAGGAATTCTGAAAGTGTCACTGAAAGACTTTTAGAAAAAGCACAACAACTGCGCCTGAATGCCATAAATGCCTCCACAGCGGCATAAATAGAACCAATCTGGCCTGATGGTGCAGGAAAAAGAGCGGGAAGCCGGGCTGCCTCCACACTTGTGTTTGAGTAGCCAAGACGTTTGACCTCGACTGAAACATGGCGGAAATTAAAACGCTGCGAACACGAGAAAGAAGAAGCAAGATGTTTATTTAGGATTGAGGCAGTTTTTACAGAAGAAATTGAATTAGTAGCGCTGTTTGTGGAATACACCGTTTATTTTACAAAAACATCAATAAAACCTTTATATCAAAGAATGGAGGGGGCTAAGTGAATGAGCTGAATTTAAACGGTTCACAAATCTGTGACTTGAAAAGGTTTAGTGATTCATAAAAAGCAGAATTTTGTTTCTGTCAATAGTAATCATTTAAAAACATCTGTCCATTCATAACACTTCAAAACAATGTCACAATGTTCAGATCTCAGTCCTAAAAATACAGGTCCTTTAGTATTTATGGTTGCGTATATGGATCTTTAATATTCCAATGAACAATTCATAATGGAAAAAGATCTTTAGATTACTCAAATGTTCTTTAGAATTTTTCTTCATGGAACCAATATCCAATAAAACAGGCTCACTGGTTTAGCCTCAGTTAGCATCCTTAAATCATAAACACAAGTCACATTTTGGGAGTATTTCATTTTAACCCTCGTTTGCTGTTTGTGTTTTGTCATTTTTTTTAAAAAGTAAAATGTAAATATAAATATATATTTTTAATTATTACATTGTCAGAAGCAAAATAAACGTAGACATGGTTTTGTTGTGATGTTTGTGGTCAATGGAAATTAATGTAAAAGTAATAAATTTTTAATTACTTATTAAAATGCATTTTAATAAGTAATTAAAAAGTAATTCATCGAGCAAAAATGTGCTACGCCCAAACTATTCCTCTTTCCATATGAGATATCAACCTCAAATTACATATAAAACTTGTTTAGATTTGTAGTTTTTATTTTTGACTTTGATTGTCATGGCTTTGATTTTCAGCTTCAGAGTAAAATAAAATATATTAACATAAAATGTAAAAATGTTAATTAATTTATTATATAAACAAACAGTTTTTTTTTTTAAATTTCCACTTTTTTGTGAACTTTTAAAATAATTTGCCAATAATTTTTTTTTATTTTGCCATCCAGATCACTCAGAATTTACAGCAGTATTTCAGATCTATGCACAATAAGTCTTTTACATGTAATAAAATGGATTGTAACTAATGCATAGTTTAGCACAACATATTGAATAAAAAATAAATATTGGACTAAAATACAGTATATTTATTTATTATAAAAAAGTCACTTTTATGCCTGCCACACAAACAGCACCAGAGAATCAAAAGAAAACCATAAATTTAATAAAAATTAAAAAAGTCATACCTGGTATGCTAATATTTATAAATGTACTTAAAAATGAATTCAGCAGTCTGACCAAATATAAAGATGAACAGACTTGAGTCATATATTTAAAAAGTCATCTGATGCTGAACCTGAGCCAAACTTCTCTACTAAATCAAGCCGAAAAGGCCCCAGTAGGCACTTTGTGAGCAAGAGCTCCGTTGGTGACTCAGCTGTCCTCATGAATAGCAGTTGTTGTGGACAGTTGCTCGCTGCTGTCCAGCACTGACAGGCTGAACGTGGCTGACTGTCGGCGCATGGTGCTTCGCTGCTCCTTCCCCCTGGCCAGATCCCCCCGTCTCTCCCTCGCCAGCATGAGGTTGAGCGACTCAGCAATGCTGTTGAGGGTCCTGTCCATGTGTGTGATCTGTGGAGGAAACGAGTGTGTGGCCTCAGCACATCTTTCAAACACTGTCTAAAATAACGTCGCCATAGCACCTTGGTAAATAAAGTCATAAACAACAGACAATGTGTCCATGCAAGCCATAAAACTACCAGCAACCGATAAAAGGTCCCATCTGTATAAATAGTCAAGCAAAGGCTATAAATCAATTTGTATATACTGCATATATAATATATACCTTTATATACTGCATATACTTTACATATACAGATATTTGTTGATATTTGTTCATGTCTAAATATTTCCTAAATTATGTTTAACAGAGAAAGGCAAATGTCACAGTATATCATGTCTGATAAAAAAAATTTTCTTCGGTAGAAAGTTTTATTTATTTTATTTCGGCTTTTTTTATTTTATTTTGTTTTTAATTTTTAAAAAACATTTTAAGGTCCACATTTTCAGCCCTTTTAAGCTATATTTTTCTCAAGCTATATATATATAATAGCTATATATATATATGAGCAATATCACACGAGTAGCAGTGCGGCCTCGTGCCATCGCACGCCTCCCACCAGTGCCGATATACAGCCATATCGCACTGCTACTCGTGTGATATTGCGTTTATACAACAGTTTGACGGCATAATTGTGTATATAAAAACAAAATCAAACACTGAGAGTTTCAAAAACCCTTTTGTATGTGGATCTACTTTCTTCAACATTGGATTCAAATCATAAGCTGACAGTTAAACAGTTGAGCAAGCATCTTTTAAACTTTAGATCTGTAGTGTCTGCTTTTTGCTGGTTGTATGTGTGCGGAGTAATACACGAAGGGTAAAGAGGCTGTAGGAGTTCTGATATTGCAGAATATCGCACAGCTATCAGCCAATCAAAAAAAATAAATAAAAAATAAAAATTGTATATATATATATATATATATATATATATATATATATATATATATATATATATATATATATATATATATATATACACACACACACACACACACACACACAGTTTTTTGTGCTGGACAAGGCTTTGTTTTTGTTTGCTTAAAAATTTCTCATTTATATACTCAGTAAAACTGGCATAATGTGATGAATACAACAAATAAGATCAAAAACAATCCTAATGTTCTTGACTCTTTCCCTTTTCATAGACAGAACAATTGAAGGTGCTAAAATGTCAGGTATGAAGAAAGCAAACATATTAAAAATGGGATTAAAGTTTGATCAAAGAAGTGATAATGAATAGTTGAAATGTCTGCAGTTTAATGAAAAGATTAGGTCATGCTAATTAAAAGTTATTTCGGTGTAAACTACAGTGCAATCTGGACTGAAATACTCCAAAATATGTTTACTTTTTATAACTATAAAATACTATTCTGAAATATGTGACCCTGGACAACAAAACCAAGTTTTTGCACAGGAATTTTTAAAGCCAAAATTCATTAAATGAACTTTTCATGAAGACATTTGGTAAAATTTCCTTCCGTAAAAAACTTTTAATTAAACCTTGAAACTTTTGATTTCCGATTGGTGTGGTGCATTGCTAAGAACTTAATTTATTCAACTTTACATTGATTTTCTCAGTGTTTAGAGTTTTCCAATTTTTCAATAAATTCTTAACCAAATATTGTCATATTTTAATAAACCATACATCAATAACAAAGTTTAAAATCACAACAAAACAGCAAGTAACTCTTTTTAAATATACAGACTGAAATATAATTTTTGTCAAAAACACTCTGGGTAAAAATTCTGGGTATTTGTTTACCTTAATTTTGGCTCAAATATAGACAAACCCAATTATTAAGTTAAATACGGATGTAGTTTCAAATCCACATTTGTTTTGGACAAAAATACCATTTCAGTCTATACACATAAAAAAGAGTTACTTACGGTTTTGTTGTGATTTATTACTTTGTTGTTGATGTATTGTAATATATAACTATGTGCCTAAAAAGCATAAGCAATTTTAGGTCCATTTGAAATTGTGGTTAAATTAGGGATTCGTGTTTGAAAGGAGGAAAACGGTCAGAGAAATACTTTTCTACTTCTAATTCCTCGTCATAGAGTTGGGGAGCCGAATGTCATGAGGTTCTTTCCCCTGGGTTCAAGTTAAGTGAAGTGTGGAGCCAGGACTGTCTACACCCCATTAGAAATAACCAGACGAGCGTCTCCACGCCGGACCACAGTTTACACAATGATAGTGCCACTGCAGTCACATACAAACACATGCACAAACACTGCCCACCAAACAGCGTGCGTAAATATATACAGTCAGTCCCCTTATAGACATAAATGCAAACATTCAGACGGTTAACCACCGAGAGCGAAAGAGAGACAGAAAGAGAGAGAGAGAGAGAGAGAGAGAAAGAAAGACACACTCACACACACTATTTATGAAAACCTGTAAACTCATAATATTAAAAAAATCTGCAGGCTAAATCTGTGATAAACAATATAAAATTTAGTCAGTCATGTTCCCCTAGTAAACCAAACAAACACATTAATTGTGTTCATTATAAATGTATTAATTTTATTCTTGTTTTTCAACTGCAACCAGTTTGGGCCAGTATGATTTTTATTTATTTATTTAAAAAAAATCACTACTGTTTAATAATAATGCTTTTAATTTAATTTGTATTTGTTTTGAGTAGCACATATCAGCATATTAGAATAATATGTGATCATTTCTATAGGATCATGTGACTAAAGATTGTAGTAATATTTTTTTCAATAATTAAATGTAAAAATTAATACAAATTTTGATTTGTTCATTAATTTATTAATTTTCCTGTGGTTTAGTCCCTTTATTCATCAGGGGTCGCCAAAAAAGAATGAGCTGGCAACATATCAAACGTATGTTTTACACAGCGGATGCCCTTACAGCTGCAACCCATCACTGGAAAACACCCATACACTCACATTCAGGCTCATACACTTTAGCTTATTCACTTCAACTATAGCGCATGTCTTTGGACTGTGGGGGAAACCGGAGCACTCTGAGTGCACCCATGCCAACACGGGGAGAACATGCATTTCTGTGTGGAGTTTGCCACCGTGTCGCCCCTATATTTTGATTTGTATATTGTATGCTCAATTTTGCAGTATTAGTGGGCATATAGGTTGTTTTCAATCATGTGGTTCTGGTGACGCACAGAATTCAGATGGTGGCAGGAAGTTAAAAAAACAAATGGGAAAAAATAGGGGAAAGTCTGTATTTTTGCGATTTATATATTTCAAAGGAGATTTAAATATAAAATAACCACATATGTTGGGCATGATCCTTATATCACGAAAAGGCTGGAGTTTTCTTCTGAACTACAATATATTTGCCTGTTATCGATGTGGTAGATAGCCACTTTAAGCTATTACATGACAAAAATATTATAAGTACTAGTGTTTTGAAGAATACTTGAATTAAACTGTTGTAGTAATTACAGTATGTTGATATTGTACAACACAACTGTAGTAATAAACAAATTATCCAATAGGCTGCATTTTATTAATTAGGCAACACAGTTTACACTAACATTACAGTATTTAATACAGTTTATCTGTTCACTATGCTACAGTATTCTGTAGCATTCATTAACAAAGAGCTGTACTATACATTATACACTTTACTATAGTCTGGTTCATAAACAATTTATAAATTACTATAGTTTTTTCAATGTGGATAACATTATATCTTCCAGACATATACACTAAAAAAACAAATAAAAGCACATTAAAGTGTGGATGCAGTCCAAATTATTATCATCATTATTATTATATATATTTAGTGTATGGTAAAAAGTGCTCCACAAGTCTAGTTATTGCAATGATAGCATTTCTTTTCTGTTCAGTCAATGAACTTACCATCAATCATTTAATGCTGCTGCACATCTCGATGTTCACATTGCGGTTAACGTTATGTTTATTCTGCCGAAACGCTAGTAAGACTTGGATTATTGCAAAACAAGTTATCATAGCAGCGATTAAATGGCAGTATACATTATTTCCGTTCTCCTGGATATTGTATGTGTGGTGGTGTTTGTATTTAATTTTTAAATAACACATTAACATATAATACAGAGCTAGGCCTGTATATAATAATTATTAGAGCTGCCAAACGTATTATCATGTTCAAAAAAAGTTTGTAGAAATGAATATATTGAATGAATATTTATTATATGCTGCCTTTTCTTCTGATTTTCATCCAGTTTCTTAAACTTTCCCTCCTTTATGAGCAAAAACCTTTGAAAGCCTACAAAACCTTTTTGGCATTTATCATTTTGGCTGATTTTAACAATTATAAACAACACAAAACATAAACATTTTATCTTTTAATAGCGATTTCTATGTAGAAGAATCACTTCCTGCCCTCCATCTGAGTCTCACACGTCATCAGTGACATCATGTGAAAACAACCTATAAGAGGTTCTTGACTGTAAACAGTAATTTATATGAAAAAAATGAAAGAAATTAAATAAATTAGAAATATATTTTTTCTCAACATTAAATGGCCTTAAACAGTGTAGATGTTCCAGTTAAATTAAAAGCAGAAGACTATGCTTGTGACGCAGTAATGAGCTTTTTTCAGATGGGTGTTTGCATAAATGTTAAGGCTATTTGTTCCTGTTTATGTCAGACACTGTCTGCTTCCTGTTTACCACAGAATTATGGGAAAAAGAAAGACACTGTAAGGGGCAGGGTATCCTGTCCACAGCCTCTACAGCTAATGACAAGTTTTCAAGCAAACAAAAATCAAAGCCTCGTCCAGCAGGAAAACTGGCTACTTAACGTATCATTAATTAGCATTGCCAAACAAATATGCCTAAGTAAGATCAAAAACAATTCTGATGTCCTCAACTCCCTTTTTATAAAGCAGAACTGTAGATGATGAAAATGTCAGATATGTAAAAAGCAAACATATTAAAATTCCCTCTAAAATGCTTTCCTAAAGAGTCTCAGTAAAGAATCGAAAACATGTCAGGCGGCCTTTTTTCTGAAATGAATCAATTTAATACTTAAATGCTTCTGAGAGAAAGAGAGTAAGAAAGAAAAAGCGAGTATGTGGCAGAAAGAGAGAGAGAGAGAGAGAGGGAGAGAGATAGAGAGCGATCATGTGAACAAGTGTTCGCTGTTTCGAGTTTGTGTCAGGGATGAGAGCTGTTTGTAAAAGGATTTATGGCTGGAGTGGCAAATGAACAGGAGCAGAGTGAGTGTTTGTAGAGCTCCTGAATCCCTGTCAGTCTGGGAGGCCAACAGACCTCTCACTTTTATACACACACACACACACACACACACACACACACACACACACACACACACACACACGGAGAGAGAGAGAGAGCTGTTCTTTTCAAAGTCTTAACACCCTTATCAGCACCGATCAGCCAAGGAGAATGTTTGAGAAGTCTTCAAAAGTGATGTTTGACTGAAGGCAGAGAAAGAGAGAGGCTCCTTCTGCCTCCAGGTTAAGGCTTAATGAATGAAGCTTACAGATCTTTATCTGTAATTCATGGCTAATCCAACTCTGTTGTGCACATTAGCTACTAGATTAAAGGCCTCTAACTAGTTTTTGTTCTACTAATTATTAACTTGTTGGTAACGCTTGGTTTCGGTAAAATTAAGAGAGTAATATTGTCACATGAGATATTTTAGATACACACTGAAAAAAGTGTTGCATGCAGAACTGTTGCAAACAATTTATTTGTGTTGAATTTAAACTAACAAATTAAGTTTAATAATGTTCAACTTAATTTGTTTGTTTAAATTCAACACAAATAAATTGTTTACAACCCCATAACGTAAACAAATTGAGTAAATCCAAGGAAATATCTCTGAATAATTTTTTTCAGTGCAGGAATCCCAATAGTAGATGTAGTACTGAACGTTTCCCTCTGTCAAAAAGTTGTTTTTGTTCTTTGTGTTTTATTTTGACCCCGTTTACACCACCACCTGATTTTTTTAGTCTCTTTTGTCCACAATTGAGCACTTTCCTAATTTATGTTTGCTTCTTTTTCAAACTACTTATTTATAATCAGCTAAAACAGCACAATTATTGAATTTATTTTGAGGCAACTTATTTTTTTATGTTCAATCCACTTTGTTGTCAAGAAAAAAAATCAAGTTAAGAAAAATCTGCTTTTTTAAAGTTGTGGCAAGAGACCTTATAGGCTTGATGCTTCATGTAGCCTATACAGTATAGTTAAAAGATTGAGAAGAAATGGCGATCAATGGAAAACAGATGACTTAAAATTTAATTTGTAAATCTAATAAGTTAACTTAATTCCTTTATGTTCTCCCAACACAAATCAATAGTTTACAGTGTGGATGAGTGTTTAAATATGCTTGTTTTTAGAATTTCAATCTAATATTAAAGTCATGAAATGAGACAATAGAAAGCAATACAGAGAGATGTGTCATTCATATACTCTGAAAACTCTATCCTGATTGATTGGTGTTTGTGTGTGTTGTTGAGTCAATACAGGGTCTTATATACTTGCAGCATAAAATAAAGATTTGCAAATGAAATCTAAAGTATTGAGCAAAGAAATGCAAAAATAATGAAAATAATTTTTTTTTGTGAAATAAAAAGGAATTTTTATTTCAAAAAACAAAAACCAAAGCAAAGAACTGCAAATAAAAATCAAGCAGTGCAGAAAAACAAAACTATTTGCAATAAAAAAATAATAAAATAAATAATATATATATATATATATATATATATATATATATATATATATATATATATATATATATATATATATATATATAGTTGCAAAATATTTTTTCCTGCATTACCTTACAAAATCCCTCAAGTCAATTGCAACGCTCATTTTGATCTACTTTTCAGTCAATCGCGAGTTTGCAATGCTGTTTTCTCTTTGCACTTCGCATTTCTGTGCGTTCCACTTTCTGGCCCTGATTTCACAAGGGGGCAGAGTCAAAGGAACTGGGACATGTACGGCATGCCCAGACCTGCCTCCAATGAATCAAAATGTATCTACATTTTATATATATATATATATATATATATATATATATATATTCATTTTATTTTCAGCTTATCCGGCATATGTTTTACGCAGAGGATGCTAGTACATATCAGCATATTAGAATGGTATGCGATCAATAATATAGGATCATGTGTCTAAAGACTGTAGTAATGGTAGCGGATGCCCTTCCAGCTGCAATCCAGAAACACCCAGACACTAGGGCTAATTTAGTTTTTTCAATTCACCTATAACACATGTCTTTGGACTTATGGGGGATACCGGAGCACCCAGAGGAAATGCATTTGAACACGGGGAAAACAAGCAAACTCCACACAGAAATGCCAACTGACCCTCCTGAGGCTCAAACCAGTGACCTTCTTGCTATGCGGCGATCGTGCTACCCACTTTCCTTTTGCGATTTATTCATTTTTTTAATTAGCATTTTTAAATTTCTTTGCTCAATAACTTTGTTTTTGTTTGCAAATCTTTATTTTATGCTGCAAGTAAATAAGGACCTGTATTGACTCCATATGTTATAATCAGGACTGACATTGCACTTTAATTGTTTTTTCTCCTTCAAAATGTATATTTTTAGACAACAAAGTTTAAATTCCGTCCTTTAATGTTTAAGAATTAACTTAGTAGGCAGACAGATGTTAGTTTCAATGCATTTGTTGACAATGAACTTCAAAGCATTCCAGTCAAGTGCATTTACGACAACCTCTAGATAAACAGTCTAGAGTGGACAAACTTGAAACATTTCAGAACCCATTTACACCTGTATTTAGCGTCATCCACTTGCATCTTAACGGCAGACGTAAACAGGACCTTTGTTATCTTTTTAACCTCCTGTTTGCAATTTTCCAACTACTCAGATTATTGTGGCTTACACACAGATGCAGGCATTTTTGGATCTTGTAGGCTTAATGTCCTTCTTAGTAAGTTTAGCTAAATCTCACTCTGGCTTTAGCACAAATATTCAAGCGCTTACCTTCTCATCCATTCTGTTGAGTCTGGAGCCAATAGTGTTTGTGCCTTTGTCTTTCAAGCGCTCTGCAGAAAACAAGAAGGGTGCCAAGAAAAACGTTATAAACACCTCAATAATGTGCACTAAGGTTTAAAGACAACACTAAACAGCAAAATTAGGAACAATGAAGGGGTCAAATGTAGCAAAACATGGTGAGAGAAGAGCTGAAAGTGTAATGAATTTTACCTGAACTTGTCTGGAAAAGGGACTGCTTCCCTAAAGAGTGATCCAGTCTGTCAGGGTCAAGTGTGTATCATGTGAAATGTACAGAAATTATAAGATGAGATGTGAGGAATAGTGACATGGATGGATGTATTCTTAACTCTCTGCATTCAATAACCAAAAGATCATTTATATTGCTATTCAATACAAGGGTTATAAGGCTGTAAGGGTTAGTTCACCAACATTTATATTTCTGTTACAAATTACTCCACCTCATGTTGTTCCAATCCCCTGAGAAATTCCACTCATCTTTGAAACACAAATTAAGAAACTTTAGATAAAATCCGAGAGCTCTCTCATCAGATACTGTTGCAATGGTCACAAGTTCAAAGTCCAGAAAAGGAAACCAAAACAAAACAGTCTATGTGATCATATGAAGCTAAATCTTTCTATGGTTACAGTTGAGCCAATGAAAATTCATAGAAAGTTCTAACAAAGATTTTGGTTCCTTTTCTGGTCTCAGAACATCTCAGAACCACTGATGTCTTTCAAATATCTTCTAAAATATCTTAATTTGTGTTTCAAAGATGAATGATGGTCTCAGTGGATTGGAACAACATGATGCAAGTAATTATTCACAGAATTTTTATTTTTTGGTGAATTAACCCTTTACATCTGTAAAATATCATCTAACTATTGCCGTATTAAGTAAACACTTTTCTAAGTGATATAGAGTTGATTTTCATCCCACCTTCTTTGCAGCTCCTTGATGCGCACCATGAGGTTGAGATGGCCCTGTGAATACTGCTCAATGACGTCACGCACATCATATGGCTTACGTGCTTGCTGCAGAAACACAAATTTATGACACTCAACAATGACTGCTTTTTTGTCTATTTATGCAGTTTTTATTTAGATCTACAACAAAGCAGTAATATATACAAGCCAGGCTCATTCTGAAAACGTACCCCATATACATTTCTGGAGAGCACCAAATATGTCAGAGGAGCTACTTTTTTTTGCAGTTGTTTTCCCAGCAAATCCACCACAAGCCACTATGTTTGCTTTTTTAGATCTTATTTTTCTCTTGCGAGTGCCATGCGTGCTTGATGTTTTCAAAAAAATCCACCAAAGGCCATTGTCGACTGACTGAATGACTGACTGATTGACTGACTCACTCGCCTCCTTTACCAAATCCAACCAATAGTGTTTTCAAAAGCACCGATTGACCCACATAAAAAATAACAAAGGCAGTGCGGGTGTTTATGGCTAAAGATTTGCAGCTGTTTTCGGTGATTGAAGAGGTGGGCTTTTGTCATTCGATAAAAGCACTCGATCCGCGTTACAGACTACAGTCTCGCATTTTTTTCAGCACTGAGATAATTGAGATGGTTTATTTATGTTTACTTAAGTACAAATATGTTTATTTGAAATGGCCAATTTATCTTTATTAACTTCACATGTATGTTTATTTTCAAAGGGTAGGATTTTATGTGTTCCCCAGTTTGTACATATTGGCTACCAGCAGCTGTGAGATTTCAGTGTTAATTTTTTTATACAATACACTAGGAACTAGTGTACTTTTCTTGGATTTTAAGTAAAATAAAATGAGTATTGCAATAAATCTTTTAAATTTTTTTCTCCTTAACTTCTTACTGTTCCTATTGCTTTTAAAATAAAAAAACACGTGTTAAGCCATGAGAACCGAACCGAAAACTGAGGTATGTATTGAACCGTGGGCTAACTGTACTGTTGCATGCCTAATATATATATATATATATATATATATATATATATATATATATATATATATATATATATATATATATATATATATATGCACAATGCTGAGCTATACACATCAACTACAAAAGATTATAAATAAAAAAACAGATTGCAAAAATCGAAAAACGATTGTGATCTCGATTTGACCCTACACACATTCTTGATTCAGCATTTCTACGATTCAGCCAATTATATTTTTGCGGCCAGGAGAGAAGCATAAAGGCAGTCGTGCAAGTCTTCAAATAGTTTTTTATACATTGCTCAGCAACATGGGCACCTCCAAATGTTGTTAAATGTCACATAATGTATTTATAAGGTATAGCTCACCCCAAAAATGTTGTAAGGAAAATGTAAGGACAATTTTAAAGTCTGTTCAACTCCACCATTCAAAGTCTATACAAAATTTTGCATTTGAACCAACAGTAGACCTACACATAAGCCCAATATTATTATTGTTGCTTTACCATATGTTTGAAAATAACAATAATAATAGCCTACTGATATTAACCTTTATTATACATTTACAGAATCGTGATAAAATCATCATCTTGATTTTAAGGAAAATAAATCATGATTCTTATTTTAGCCAGAATCATGCAGCCCTAACACACGCTTTCCTTTACTCGTTTACTTTTAACTTAAAATCTTGATATGATCTTGCCTTGGGGCTCACAATCCCTGTATGTGAGTAAAACTTTACTTTAAGTGAAGCCTGAAAGAAAGGGGAAATCATCATAAGGGGAAACTCTCTCGACTTGATAACACCGGTCCTAAATCAAACGAGCCCAGAGGGAAAAATTTCCTGTTGATTGTCACCTTTGAGGAAAACGATTCACATCTGCTGACACCAAACGTACACCCTGATCAAACGCTTTATCTTTGCTTTTGGGGCTGATCGAGAGCAGGTGATGACGCTTTGAATGTATTTGAACTTTCAGACTAACACGTGGCAGATGTGTGAAGCTTCACGTTTGCTACAGAATTTCAGTTTGATCAGCGTGGGCGAAATAACCAAACATTCACACATCTCTGGCACAAATCACCCAATTCAGGAGAAGCTTCAGCCGTTCAAAGGAGGGTAAACATTATCATGACATCAGATACAGCAAATCTAGCCAGCAGCATCTGACAAACACTCCAAAGTGTGTGTTGTGTGTCGCGAGAGTGTGTGAGAGGAGGGCAGAAGGACTTGGAGAAAATAAGGGGATTGAGGGATGACTGAGGCGAGTGGGTCAAATGAAAAGATAGCAAGAGGATGGGAGGGTAAAGAGAGAAGACAAACACAGTGCAGTAACGAGTATCAAGTGTCGGAGAAAGTGTGTAGGACAGCTATTAAGTTAATCCTCGTTACGATGAGTTTCAAAACATCTGCTGCGACCAAACAAGACCCAATTAAATGTGGTAACTGAAAGCTTATCCACTACTTAGACTCATCAAGTATTCATTAAGAAATGCTAGTGCTAGCTAGGAAATTGAACGAATTGAAATTTAAATTTGCTCTTCTTATTTCTGTTATATAGTAGTGCTTATTATATCAGTACATTTCATTATTTTCTAGAAATGAATTTGTCCTCAAAATGACATTAGATCACTTTTGGTCACATGGAATGACATCAGGGCGTGTCTTTGCTTTCTTCCAATTCGTTCCAACAATCTAGTCGGTTCCCGATAGGGCTGTGCAATATGGGCTAAAGAAACCTATCACGATTTTCTAGAACAATATTGTGATTTAGATTTTAATCATGATTTTGTCACAGACTGAACCTGGGTTTACAGTCTGAAACATATTTCAAAAGAAAAACAATTACATCTTTATCAAAGACCTGTAACGTCTCTAAAACAGACATCAAATAAAAATCACCTATAAATCTGTAACAAATTGTCTCAGGAACAGACATATGGCAAAACAAATATGTGTGAGCATGCGCGCCGTCAAACTCAAGTAAATGCTGATTTATACTTATGCTTCGGCACAGCCTGCGCATGGACGCATTGCCATGGCAATCGCGCACGTCTCAAAAATTTTTGCTACACGTTGCTTTAACGCATAGCCCAAGTACTGTGATTGTTCGGCTTGGTATCGCTGATAAGTGTGGGCCGGGCCGAGAGCTGGACGAACCCGTTGGAGCGAGTGTTTACAAGTGTCGAGTCCTGTGAAGAAGGTCTAGATGGAAACTGTTGTTTTGTGTTTACCTTATGATTAAAGTTGCTGTTTTTCTGCTGGTTCCCGCCCTAAAATGAGCAAGTTTGAGCTACTTGTACATTAAGGTAGAATTTAGAAAAAACTAAAAACCAGCAAAAAACTCAACACCGAGGAACATACTGCCAGCTAGCGTTTCATAAGTGTTATTGCAGAGCATGTGGCGTGGGTCACGCCGATCACTCGATGATAAACCAGGCTTAAGGCTCTGATGTTTTAGTTGACCAGATATAGTTGCCTGTGATCAAATATTTGCGTGTGTGTTCACAGGTTTATTTTGTCATGCATAGATCATAGACCTCTTTGTGACTCTGCCATGAAATAGGTTGTTAACATATCCCGTCTATTGCCCACACATGTCCATTATTTCCAATGGGGGCACTTGGATTGAGTGCACATATTGAAAGTAGCACGCACCCATATTCCAGGTAAACACAGCTACGAACACCTCTTTACAGACAAACTTTAAATTTAACTTTTTTTTACAACATAATTTTATATAAAATTCACTTTAATAACAGATATGACTAAAAAGTGGTCATAAACAAACATTTTCTTAATTTAAATGAGTAGAAGCTTGGACCCAAAAACAGTATTCCATACGTTACTAATACGTCATGACTTAACAAACGTATGGTATGTTAGGTTGTCATCCTCTGAGAAAGCAGTTCATGGTCACCGAGCAATGACAAAGGTGCGACCGCAAGGCACGTTGAAAATGCTGAAGGAAGTGACGCGCTTACAAATTACCTGGTTCTGCTATACATCGGCCCTCCTGTATCCAAAGTATCTTAATCCCACACCACAGATGTTAACTTTTTCTGCACTAAGTCCTCCTGTACTGAACTCATTATCCCTATATAGGCAGGCTATTCAATCTCCTGTTCTTACTCTTTGTTTAGGTGCGCTGTGTTATGATTGGTTCAAATAGCATACCGTGTGAAAATTGTGCTGTAAGGCGATTTAGAAATCTTGATTTCAATCCGATTTCAATTAATCACACAGCCCTAGTTTCCAATGGACAAAATCATGCACAATCACACTTTTAACTTCCATTTCATTTGTGACTAAGTTTGTTTATAACCAAATGAATTCACAAAATACTTATAGACTTCTCTATACTGTCATTCATTCGTTTTCATTTTGGATTAGTCCCTTTATTAATCTGGGGTAGCCACAGCGGAATGAACTTATCATGCTGAAACCAACTTATCCAGCATGTGTTTTACACAGCGGATACCCTTTCAGCTGCAACCCATTACTGGGAAACACCCATACACTCCCATTTACACACATATACTATGGACAATTTAGCTCACCCAATTTACCTGTACCACATGTCTTTGGACATGTGGGTGAAACCGGAGCACCCGGAGGAAACCCATGTGAGTACGGGAAGAACATGCAAATTCCACACAGAAATACCAACTGATCCAGTGACCTTGAACCAGTGACCTTCTTGCTGTGAGGCGATCATGCTACCCACTTTCCCCTTGCGATTTTTAATTTTTTGTTTGCATTATTTTTATACTCCACACAGAAATGCCAACTGACCCAACAGAGGCTCAAACCAGCGACCTTCTTGCTGTGAGGTGACAGCGCTACCTCCTGCAGCACCAAGTCGCCCTCTTTTGTACTTTTCTTTCGAAATAATATTTAAATAATACATTTAAGAGCATTTTCTCATATAAACGTGACTGGAAATTTTATTAGACTAGTCAATTAACATATCATGGCAGTTTGGAAATCAAGCAGATGATATATAAATTAGAGAATAATTTCACTTACATTAAACTTTTAAACACCTAGACAAATTAAGTAATTAAAAAAATCTAAATGATTTGCCTTGATTTTACATGGCACTTTACCAATGCTCTCCAGAGCACAAGTGTGAACACTAAAAAGTATTAGTTTGCTCATAATGAACTATAAGATATTAAATTGTGCAGCGAACCAGGCTTAATTAAGCCTTCATTAAATGATAATGTGCTCTGTAATCATAAACTGTGTCAAAAGGAATAAAAGCTGTTGATGTTTTACTGCCTCTAGCATTCACTTCAGCTGAAATCTGCAGCTAATTATATGTAAAATTATGTTTTTGGCAAAATGCTGGTAGACATATTTTTCCATTACTCCTCATATGAGAATCGTGTTAACTTGATTACCCTTCGGTTGTGTTTGTAAATAGAAAAGGAAAATCTTACCTGAAACTTCTTTCTGGCCACAAAGTAGTACATTCTCTGGATCACACGGATGGCTGCTCGATGAGAATCCCGCAACCTGTGTGGTCATTTGTTGTGATTAGTCTTAAGACACTTAAAGAGATTGATTTTATCTTACCAAAGAGGTATAGTTCTGTCATCATTTACTCAACCTCCACTTGATACAAACCTGCTTGAGTTTCTTTCTTCTGTTGAACACAAAGGAAGATATTCTGAAGAATGTTGGAGGGAAAGAAACCATTCAATTCCTTATTTTATGTTGCATTCTTCAGAATATATTGTTTTGTGTTCAACAGAAGAAAGAAATTCATAAAAGTTTACAACCAATGAGTCTACATTAATGGCGATACGTCCATTTTGATTTTAAATGGATGGTTCATTTAACAAAATTAAAATTCTGTCATTTAATCTCACCCATGCTGCTGTTTCAAACATTTCTAGCATGCTTTCCCCTCATGTAAAACAAGATCATTTCTAAAATGTCTCTTCCCCCACATACAACACACCTTCTCAAGTATCAAGTGTCACACAATCTCCAGAAAGTGTGTAGGACAGTCATTAAGGTAATCCTTTTGACATTGGCATGTCAAAATCATTGGCATGTTAGGACTAAATGAGTCCTGACACAAGGTCTCCCCATATGCGTTAAAAGACAGTCCATTCACTACTTTTACTAACAGAGGTGTGCTAATTACTGAAAATATGTGCAATTGAAAGCTGCTTAAAAGGATAGTTCACCCAAAATTTAGATAAAACTCACTATTTACTCACCCTCAAGTGGTTTCAAACATTTATGAGTTTTTTTATTCTGTTGAACAAATAAGATGTTTTGAAGAAAGCTGAAAACTAGCACAGTAGGAAAAACAATACAGTGAAAGGCAATGTTTCCAGCATTCTTCAAAATATATTCTTTTGTGTTCAGCAAAAGAAAGGAATTCAAACAGTTAAGTTTGAGTAAATGATGACAGAATTTTCACTTTTTAGTTTAATCACTTAATATACCGAAATATTTCCTGCAATCAAAGAAAAATTATTGAAATGCTTAAACATTATATTATTTTTAAATGAGTAGTTCAGTTGAAAACAAAAACCTTTGTCATGTTGTTCTAAACATGTTTTACCCTCAGTGAGTACATTTACATGGACACCAATAATTCGATTTTAATACAGACAATACTCTGATTAAGGTCATAATCGAACTAAACAGAACTAGTCACATTTTTGAAGTGCAGCACAGACATGTAAACACCTAAATCAAACTATTACCATCCTGTAGGATTTTCGCCTCATTTTGTGACAGGATAGTCTATACACACAAGGCATGGGACGGTATAAGATTCTGACGGTAGGATAACCTTGGATAAAAACATCACGGTTTCATGGTTTTACGGTATTGTGATTACTGCTTTAAAATATATTCTTTTTAAACGTCTGGGTAAAAAACACAAACTTTTTCCCCCTTTTAACACAATAGATTTTATTTTGAGAAACATTTAAAATATTTTGGAGCAGCAAACATGTCAGGCTGAATAATGAAAATGAATCACTGACTTCTGCTGTCTTCATTTGTTTAAAAACACGTATTATTTTACAATTTAAAACGGCATCTTTGATATCTTTTCTGCTAGAGGTACTGAGTTAAACGAAGAAAAATAAATAAATAAAAAACATCTTACACATAGCTTAGGAACGGTATTACAGAAAATGTTGGCCGTTTTAAAACCTTGACGTTTAGCTCAAACCACGTCCAAACCACGGTATACCTTGAAAACGGTTACTGTCCCATGCCTAATACGCACATGGCTGTTTGACACTATTCTCTGCACCTACTGAGTCAGTAAAGGACCACAGACTCACACATTGCGAAAAGAGGTTTTGTCTTCCACATACAGTGTGTGGTATTAAATTCCATTTAACAACACTCCTCCATCAGTTCATACTTGCATCCAATATCTTGTTTGTCACGGTGGCCATGCATGAAATGTTCCTGAATGAAAGTGAAAGTGCCAAACTGCAGTTAAATTCAACAAATTATAAATAAAACAGCTAAAATTACATGAAACTATGAATGAAAACATGGATAGCTTGGTGAGGCAATGATGTTAATCGAATTCTGTGCTATAACATGTAAAACGGGATCATGAAAGGAACATTCAAAAAGCAACTCATGTAAACGCCTTAATCATATTATTGTCTGATTCGGATTAAAGCAAATCATTCATTTACTGATGTCCATGTAAATGTAGTCAACATAATACAAAATCATTTAAAGAAAAGTGTTTCTTCCCTTGACAATGAAACTCAATGATGTTTGAGTAGGTCAAAAGCCTTTTTTTCTTTGAAATATCCTTGTTTTTATTTCACAGATAAAAAAGAAAGTAATACGGTTCGGAATTATATTTTTGATTAAACTTTCCCTTTAGTTCATGAGATTGAAACTAGTAAAAGCACATGGTGAGGAAATGAGAACAACATCTTCAATGCAGATGCATATCTACGGTCATAAATGAAAAATCTGAGATTTCCATTGTACACGCCACCACTATTACTAACAGCACAATCAGCGACCTTTTCACAGTTTCAATATCATTTGCAAAACAATCCTATCAGACGCCAGCAGGCCCTCAGGTGCAACCCAGAGCCACTCCAGATGCCGTTTATGTCAGGACTTTTGCAAGTGGCCATTGAGCACAAGGGTCATGACCAGGACACAGTGTCTAAGTGAAAATACAAGGCTCGCTCTGCTTTCCAAAGCACTCAAAAACCACAGCTCTGAGATTTGGGGGTGGGGGGAAGGGATTGACTCCCAAGAGACCCAAGGTTATCTGGAGGAACAGGACATTTTCTAAAATAAAGACAAAGTATGAGACGCACACTTTCCCTTGCACGTCGACTCCCGCGTGCCAGTCTGCGTATGTGATCACGTTAGCATGCTAAGGCTCGTGTCTGTTGCATGTCAGTCTGACAAAAGACGGCGCACACTCATACAAGTTTCTTTAAAACGCATTAGCGGTAGACTGGCTGCAGGCTATCAGGCCTCATTGACTTAATGGATATGGTTAGCTGACAGTTTCTGGTTTCTCCCTGGCTGTGGGCTACAGGGAAATGAGGGATAAGGCATATGCTGTGCTCGAGGCAACTGCCAATTTACTGCTCTTTGGTGCCATACTTCAACCAGCATCTCTCTCTTTAATGTTGCCAGTGGTTAAATGCGAACCTTCATAGCTTTGAACATTATCATACCCGCAGCAATGCAAATGTCTGTTCAATTAGCATGAATGGAAGAGGAAAGTGGGTAATGGAAAGCACCAGATAGCAAAAAAATCCTGTTATTTTGCATACTTGGAGTGATTTGGTTTGTGATTTATTTCCTTTCACCCATCTTCTATTTCAGACGTCGCCACAGTGGAATAAACCGCCTAACTATTCTGGCATATGTTCTACGCAGCAGATGCCCTTTAAGCCGAAACCCAGTACTGGGAAACACCCATATAAACTCATTCACACACATTCATACACCAATTTACGGCCAATTTAATTTATTCAATTCACTTATACCGCATGTTTTCAGGACTTGAACGAGTGACCTTCTTGCTGTGAGGCGACAGTGCTAACCACTATAAGCCAGTGTGCCGCCCCGTTTCCTTTCATGTACAGTATAATGTTTGGAAGTCACAACATTCTTAGAAATTACTTAAGGTACTGTAATGTAAACTAGTTTGGTAGTTATCATGAGCAAGTGCTTTTTCTTCACTCTCCAATCAAACATTTGAATAGATTATTAAAATGAATGACATGTTATAACAACTATAGCAATTGTCAAATTTGACCTATTGTATGAATGGAAAATACATATTTAATATTACATTTTAATATAACAAGTTAGATTTTTTTCAAAGTGATTATTCATCCTAATGTATTCACTCTCCCTCATGTGGTTTTAAACCTTTATGGGCCCTATCATACACCTGGCTCAATAAGGCACAAGGCGTGTTAGGCGCAGTTTGTTGCTATTTTAGACCAGCAGAACTCTAATTTTCACGTTTTGTGCCTCGTTGTTTAGATAGCAAATTCATTTGCACCACCTTGTGGACTCATGGGTGTTCTGGTCTAAAAGGAGGTGTGTTAAGGTGCAATGTTGGCGTGATGTTATTTTGAAGAACTGAAATAGACTACGTCACTGACCAACTAAAACCTGGTCTAAAGTTCAGTGCAGAACATGTTAGTTATGCACCTATGTGGGTCCAAACACTTACATATTGCATACTTATATATATATATATATATATATATATATATATATTTTTTTTTTTTTAACAGATGAAAGAGGTTTATGTTTTGAGTTTTATTTTTTTGTGAATGGTGAGTGAAGATGATGACAGAATTTATAGACTTTGCTTTTAACCCATTTAAACCCACCAGCAACTATAGTTGCCAAAGATCATAGTTGCCAATTTTTCTTTTAAAAGTAATTTTCCACATGTTATTCGTTTAATTTCTCAATGACATGCAAGCAAACAACCAAATAAAAGATTTCAAGAAAGAAAAAAAAAAGAATTGATTGAATTCCTGTTACGTGAGGCTTTTATAATTCTTTCTAAGTCCAAGATGCAAAAAGAGGCAAACCCTAAAAAATAAAGGCAATTTTATATTACTAATAATTAGTTTTTTGTTCACAAATATATATTAACATAACCATGAGGGTCTGTAGATACATCCAAACAAAACAAATCTTTTAATAAATCTACAGTTTTTTTTTCTATACTTTGTCAAAAATTCATGTGGCAAATATATTGGGCAAATATCTTGTACGTACATAAATCAGCGTAAATTAGAGAATAATGTGTTAATAAGTTAATAAATAAATGTTATTGGTCTTGTTTAATGTTCTTTTTTCTTTTTTTGCTTTCATAATACCCCATTTAAACAGAACTTAACCCTTCAACTGATATCTTTACTTTAAAGTGGACTTTTTGATACATAATTTGATGCACAAAAATCCTCAGATTAAAATGAACTTTTCCCACTGGTCCCACTCCCCCCAAAAAAGGTTAAAGT